ATAGCCCGATTATTTCCAAGACTGTTATTCTTGGATGTTAAAACATAATAATTTACCTCAACGATAAAACTAGTACATTTATTACTCTTGTCAGATTTCTTACATGCCTTTGGATTATTCATAATGCTTGTGTACTCTAAAAATGAACAAGAAAAATATCACTTATATTATTCAAAACACAATTACAACAATATATTTTTATTACACAGAAAGTAAAAGATTTAATTTTTAATTTTCTATTTTGTTATAAATTATAATATTAATGGATATTCCAAGTATATGAAGTTGTTTTCCTTCATGTTATTTGTAAAAATGTTCAAACTTGTAGATATGATTGGCAAATTTTTATTTTCAAAGTATTTATAGGTTTAGTAATAATCAAAAAACACAGAGGACCAATTTAACATACAAGGTACTTCTTTCTGTTATCATAACTAACGTTAATGGGTTAGACAAGTGTATAATACTGTCTATAATATTTTTCTATTAATACCAGAAAATACTTTACAGTCTTAAATTTAATAAAATATAAATAAGATATTTTAATAAAAATTGAAAGTTAAATAATTAGTAAAATAAAATAAAAATAAATGACCCAAAAAATTTAAAATAGTGCTTTCAAAAAAAAAAAAAAATATATATATATTAATTCACTTATTTTAATGTGTACATAGAGTAATTACAAATTTCTATTTTTGTAATGTATTATATTCTTTATAAATATTTTCAAAAAATTATTTCAGTAAAAATATTAATTTAATTCACTCATAAAAGTTTTTATGGGTAATTCAATTTATTAATAAAAATAGGTAAGGTTAGATTATTAATCTTGATTGCTTACTGGCAATTACAAATCAATATCACAAATGTGAAGGCGATTTTTTAAAAGATAATGGTTTTCATATTATTACAAAAATTTCAAAAATATTATCTGATGTATCTACGTTAGAAGGTATCCCAGAAAATAAACTAAGCAACAACTTTTTACATTGTAATACACGATTTTTATACTATATCCATTGATATAGAATTCTCCTTTTCACATTACAAAAATCTGTTGATGGAAAATCAAAATGCTGTTTGAAAACTTATCCAAATCATTAATTGATCAATGCAATGACATCAGATAGAAATTAAAATGTTAATCATTTAATTAATGTGTTGTTTTGTTTAAATTACTATTTATTAAAAACATTAAACATTTTTTTTTTTTTTTGTTTCCAGATTAAGATAATATCACTCATGTTTACAAATCATTGACAGTAAAATATATAAGAAATATATCATTTAATTAAAAATAGAATATTACAATTATTAATTTTTTTTTTTTAAAGCATATTTTAAGTCATAATTTGGTCATTTTTAGGGCTTAACTGTGTACATATTTTATAGGTTTTAGGGTATATAATTGTCAATCTTACTGATTACTGGGGCTCGAATTTTGTAGCAAATGGTTCTTTTGAGGGGAGTATGATAGAAAGATAATTCTTATATATAAATACGTTTTGAATCATTCTGATTTTAATGAAGTAAGCTTTTTATTGTTTTTCCCCTATTTCATTCTTTTTTTCTTGATTTTTACATATTTTTCTTGAAAATTTAACTTATTTCTATGTATATTATACTTGGACTATATTTTTATTAACAGAAATTATAAAACCAATGAAAAAATCAGTAAATAATGTATGATTGATAAAATAACTATGGTTATTATGTCGAAATAGTTTTATCTACAATTATCTATAGTGGTATTTACGATTCAAATCAATTAGTTTATATGAAATATGCACCGATTACATCGGTTGAAGAAGAAAGCTCTTTTTCTATGTATAAAAATATATTAGCACCCTATAGAATGAGTTTTAATGAAAGCAACTTGACTAAATATATGGTCGTAAATTATTTTTTTAATATTTAATTTTATGTGTAATTGAAATTTGTTTTTTTTTAGAATTAAATTCAATAAATGCTTTTTTAGCTACTTAAAATACTTTTTTAAGGATTTATTTTGCTACAAAATCCGAGCCCTACTGATTACACTATTAAACTTACAGTAGTTAATAAATATCCCATTCTTCCACTAGATGACATAGTGACCATAGTCTATCCCTAATATTTAGCTTGAAGAGGTACATAAATATTTTAATGAACCTGGTTTTTGGATGAATTGTACGGCTTAATTTTTTTTCTGATTATTTAACTAATATCTTATATTTACATATAGTTATTCATTTATATTTAAATGTGTTTATTTAATTTTATTACTTTTTTTTTTTACATAATTATTTATATTTATATATTATTTTTATTAAATAAAAATATTCACCTTTAATATGACTTTATTTTTTGATTTCCTTGGGTTCAACAGTTTTACTTGAATTAGGTCAATTAAATATTGACAGCTTATCATTTTCGATTAGGCGTTTGTCTATGTATTGTATTTGAGAGTGAGCAGAACATAATTTATATCTATATAACTTATCAGTATAGTAACATATTCCTGGATCCATCTATGCAAAGTTTATACAGTGATATAACTGAGCCCATTCTTCGCACCTATAATCAAATTAATAATTTAAAATCACAAACATTAAATAAAAAATAAAATAACATATAAACTATAAATTAATACCTTCCAACATTCTTAGGAAATTGATGAAACATATGTTTTAAGGCACCATATTTGTTTTTACATATCATACAGTTAACACTGTAAAAATTTTAAAAAATCACTTGAACTGTTTGTTAAGATTAAAATACATGTAAAAATTTTTCTTTAGCGTGACATAAAGACTTTAAGTAAAGTGACATTCATACAAGAAAGCTAAATACAATTAAATATTGATAAAAATCTTTTTAAATTTTTATTTGCGTGTCAATTGAAAAAAATTACTTTTATTAACCTGTTCAACATATCCATATTTAATAGAATATAATACACTGTAACTATATTTTTTTCGTTATCTTATGTAACATAGTAAACTTGGTATAGTAATAATTTTATTAATGTCTGACATTTTTTCAATTAAAAAAAAATTATATAAATTTGGTTTCATAATCAATACTGAATAACAAATGTATCATTCTACCATATTTTAAAATCATAACCAGCCTAAATGAGTTAAAGAGATTTTGTCAAAAAGATAATTGACACTTTTATATTAACTATATTATATTTAAGTTATTTTTTATAAATATACTATTTTTTTAATTGGTACTTTTCTTATGGAACATTCTGAACAATACCTATGCCTATAATTAATGATATTTTATTATTATTGTTTACTTCAAGTAATTTATTATTATAATTTGTTGCCAAGTATACAAATAATTTTGTTCTTTGTAAAGAATCTGCTTTAAAAGGGTTTTATTTTAACAATAATAATTTATATATTCATTCATCTAAATTTTATCATGAAAATAATCTTAAGCACAGGATTTCAACACAAACAATTATAATTTAAAATGAAACTCCAGGCTGAATAGTTGAACAAATATTACTTTAATGAGTATTTGAGTGATTAAAAGCCATGTTTTATGTCCTTATGAGGTAAAACAATTATAATAATATGATGTCAATTTAACAAGAACAAGAGAGAATGCGAATACAATGTGGAAACACTGATTTGTGAATATTATAACAGAGGTTTAGAAGACACTATGTTTTAAACCATATTTAAAAAAAAAAAACAAAATTTAATGGCATGGTGGTCTCTCTTCAAATGTACGACACCCAGTATTATTGTGACAGTCTCATGGACGTAGGTAAGAGGGAGGATTTAGATGTTCAAACACCCTTTAGAAATTAAAGATAAAACTGAATAAATATTCATATTTAATGTTAATGTTTTATAATATTAATATAGACCTAGACCAAAACCCCCTTCGAAAATATTTCCTATCTATGCCCATGGGCGGTCTGTTGTAGGAGACCATTTATGTACCTATTTATATTATTCGCATGATAAACCATGCCAGTACAGAACTATATGAGTAATGAAAAGCTATTATTACAGAGGCTGATTTGTTTACTGAATATTATTTATTTTACCATTGACAACTATACAAGAACTTAATATAAATCTTTTTATTATGTCATTAGTTCAACCATGAATGATTGTTAACTATGAAATAGACATATTCAGTATTCATAGTTCAGTGATTAAATTAAATTCAGTCACATACAATACGGCCCGAGGCTCACAAAATTTAATTTGCTGGGTCTTGAGGATCATAATATTGTCATGAATTAAATAGAAAAAACTTATATGTTAATTGAACATTATACATCATCAATTGGTAGTAAATAAACTTAAATTTCAAACCAATGAAAGTTAAGATTCCCAACATTTGCAAATATATTCAACCAATAATATATAAGTAATTACAAATACTTACTTGGTTATTGTGAGATAGTGACTAGTGTAACTGAATCACGACCAAAATGTCAAAAGAAAATCACAGAGAACCAGGACGAAATTACAAAATTAATTGAAATTAGGTATTCAAATCGATGAATATGTGCAATTCGAGTGTACGTTAGGGTAGGTTAACCAAATTAGGCAACACCATGTAAAATAAATTTTAATGAACGAATTTCATAAAGATGATTTTGTATCGTAGATTACAGTTTAACCGCGGTTTTTACTTATGACAGAAAAACTACTCATAAAATAATATTATGTTCATGATAGTAATATCCTTATCAACATAAACAAATTATAATCTTTGTCATCTGAATTCGTTATAACTGGACAGATAACAGTTTCCGAGATGATAATATTATGAAATTTTTTTTTCGTGTTGTGAACACGCCGTTATCATGATTTATGATAGCTTGGTACGATTTCAGTATTAATACACAGACGCATTTTCTCAATAAAATTTGTTCAACAATAAAATTCATTTCTCCCACTTGTATCTGTACGGTAATATTGCATCTCGTAACCATTCGCACAATTTTATGGTTTCCATTTCAGATTTCCCGAACACTAAACAGTATTATATATATCAAGTAAGTACAGCATCTCTTGAATCCTCAGTCGATACAGGTTCTTTAAGACTAATAGTAGTTGATATTTAAGTAGAAATAAAAATTCATCATTTAGGGCAAACAAATTACTTGTTTATACCTTTTATGTTTTGTTATCAATATTGTTAAGCTTAAACCTAACTTCATAGGACTATTCAATATTTTTTGTTTGATGGATTAAATAAATAAATATTTGACTGTTCTATGTTATATTTCTGTATAATATTTAAAACATAATTATCTAAATCATTTTATAATTAGTTATTATAAACAATCCTAATATTATCTTATTTTATTTCTATTATAAAAATATTTACTTGTCATCTATTTCTTTATTTATTTATTTATTTTGTGTAAATTTTGTGGATAGAACTATCTAATAATACACTCTTAATTTTTATTAGCAAAATCTAGTAAATCAAACATTTTACAATACAACAAAATGCCAAGCAAAAAGAGGAAGTACAATGCTAGATTTCCGGCTGTAAGTATAAATTATAAATTTTCTCTTTGAAGTTAATTATTATTGATGATAAGTTAAAATTCTTTTTTTTTTTTTAAACTGTCGAATACTAAAAAATTGTGGATCACTTCCAGTAACTGATATATCATATATTTTTGTCTTGACAAATATATTTTTTTTTTTTTTAGGGAAGAATTAAAAAAATTATGAGAATTGATGATGAAATTGGTAAAGTTGCGTTACCAGTTCCAGTTATGATTTATATCCTTTTTAATACTTATTTAAACATAAGACTGTAACATTACGAATTAAAATTAAAGCTAACATTATTTGTTAATATTATTACATACACATATAAATTGTATAATATTTTTACTGTCATTCACTAAACTATTATCATCAAGAGGACGTAATACAGATATTTGTTATCTTTGTCTTATAAGTGTGTAACATACACAATTTACGTTCAACAGATTAGGGTTAGTTTCGTTAATTTAAAAATTAAGAGTAAATCGACCTATAATAAAACTTGATGGTAAGAACATTTTCTGTGTTTGTATGTGGGTTTTTACAATCATTCAATTTTTTAAATGAATAATGAGCATTATTAATTTACTTTATTTTACATACGCAAAACTTGTCATAAAATTGAGCTATCGTAAAACATCCACATTGATAATCAACTTACTATCAAGTTTCATTATAGGTCAATTTACTCTAATTTTTAGAGACAACAAATGTCTGTGTAGTACCCTCTTAATTATAAATTTAATGGTCTTATTTATTATCCATTATACACAAACTTCACTATATGTAAAATTAAAAACTACTGGCCATATAAATTTTACTTGCAAGCATAGGTGCAACTAGACCTCTAAAATGTGGAATACTAAAATTGTTAATGCTTCATAGAACTATAGTATTTCACTAAAACAATAATAGTTAGGTATAAAAAATAAAGAGTGCTGAAGACCCTCCTATTTATGCCACTACTTACAAGCTACAGAAAAATATAATTAAAAAGAGACTTATACCACCAAATAAATAATAAACTATAAAAGTAATAGTATAATAATATAATTATTAATAAACTTACATGATCAAAGTTTAACATCAAAAAATTTCTCAAAAGAAAATTTATTGATTAAAATAATTTTATGAAGTATATTAGCATATCTAACAATTTATAGTAAATATAGAATGTAGGTTTTTTTTTTTTTTTGTGGTAAATTGTAAATATATTTGAGTTATTAAAAATGTTTAAATATTATTAATTTCTTTATAAAAATATTACCTCATTCAACAATTAATTCCACAACAATTGATTGTGCAATGCTCACTAGCCTCCATAACTAAATAGATACTAAAATAAAAATGTCCTTTTCATTTTTTTTTTTTTTTTTTAATACAGAGAATTTACTTAAGGGTATCCATGATGTCAGTATTAATTTTAAGGAAAGATTATGTAGATATAGTAGTTACTGCATAAATTATGATTTATATTTAATGTATTACTTTGTTTGTATAGCTATTTACTGTTATTATAAAAAATAATTCTTCGAGTTAAAATTGTATTTATACATATTCTTTTATATATAGTTAAAACTAACTAGATAAATATTTTATTTATCATTATTAATAAATATTAATTTTAAACACAAAAAAATAAATAAATATTCATTGATTTAATAATTTATTTGACATAAATTGAACAAATGCAAGTTAGTGTGTAATAATAAGTAACTAGATGGATTTTTAATAAAACATTTAATTAAGTATAGTTTAAAAAAAAATAACCTACTAGTTTTTAACTGAGTTAAATTCATAGTTTATTCCTTTTTAATTTTGAACTTTTAGCTAATATTACCTAATATTTATAGTGATTGTTAACCATAAACTTACTAAATATTAAAGTTGATTTAACTTAAATAAATCAAGTTAATTTTTTCATTAACCTTTGGAATTTAGAATTGTTATATCTTACTAACCATGGAAATGTTTACAAAAATGTATCAGATTTTTTTTAAATTTCTATATTGAATCCTTTTATAATTACGATAATTAAAGGTAAAATTGAAAATACTCATTTTAATTTGGGATCTTAAATCCCCACATCTTACCTTAAATTTTATAGTTGTAACACTGTTTAGTATAAAAAAATAAATATTTTAGCTCTTAAAAAATTATAAATATAATTTTCATTTAATTTTATTTTACATTATAAAAATCCTTAATGATAAGTACACCTCGAGCATTGGAACTTTTTGTTTCATCTCTTTTAGTCAAAGCTGGTGATATAACAATGCAAAAGAGTGCAAGAACTCTTACTCTTGCCCACTTGTAAGTATCATGAATATTGTTGTAATACTTATTAATACCATTTAATATTTTTAGATTTTTTTTTTTTAGAAAACATTGTATTTATTCTGATAGCCGCCTTGATTTTCTTAAAGAACTGGTAAAAAGTACACCTGACAATTTGGAAGAATGTAATGATATTGCAGATCCAGTTGTCACACAAAATAATCAAGTCAGCAATAATGATAGTGATGATGAAACGTAAGTCTTTGTGTAGTCTGTTAAAATAAAGGTAAATAAAATATTTTAAATAGTTGAAAGCACTAAAACATTTTATATAATTTCTATATTTTCTATTAATTATTAAATTCACTTTTTGTATCAAATGCTTTTGAAGTTATATAAATTTTATAGTTGATTTTCCCATATAATATAATATTATTTTAATTTTACATTAGACATGTACACAATACTTAATTACAGTATTTTGTTTAATTTTTTTCATTACTTTCTTCCGCCATAGACATAATTATTTAATAATAAAGTTGATTTAGTTCAGCGGTTTAAAATTTAAAGAAGATTTTAATAACCAAAAACAAAATTCAAACATATTATGTTATGTTAAATTAAAATAACTATGCTTGTTACATTGGATATTCTGTCTATGAATTGAGATACTCTATAATACAATACTATTTAATTTTTGTTTATTATAACTGTGAAAAGAAAAATGATTAGTGCTTACAACTTAATCAGATAGATTACAGGGAAAGTAAAGAACATTATCATAATAATGTTTGTAAAATGTAAAATTTTTTACTAATTTATAATAATAATGATATATGCATAATTGTATTTAATGTTTATGTATTCAATAAACCATTCAGAGTTAAATAATACAATAAATGTGAAATAAAGGTTAGGTATAATAATGTATAAGTTCTATAAAAAGAATAGACACTTTAAATTATAATTAAAATGTGTTATAGTATATTGGTGTTGTATAAAATAAATATTTATATAGAACTGTTTGATGATGGTATTTAAAAGTTGGTTTAAAAATTTTTTAAAGTAATAGAATAATAGATATAATTTAAACTTGTTTATTAGTAAATTATTTACAATAATATCATGATTATTAGTTTGCCATTTAATTATAATATTTGTATGCACAATGTTTTATTTAAATCTATGTATAATTTATATATATATATAATGTGTTCTAATTTATCATTGCCTAGCCAGAACTGCTGAATATGTAAGTATTAAATTTGGTCTGTAGTTTTGTTTTATGATGAAGAAACCCACTAAAAAAGTTTTTTTCAAAACTCACCTCCTAAAAAGTGTAAAATGGGATGAAAATATTATTTTTTGAACAGATTTTTTTAAAACTTAGCATAAATACTCTGTGATACAACTAATAAAATATCTTTTACCTTAAAAATATGTACAGTTTACACTTAATTGAAAGAGGAGTAAATCCATAGGCATTTAATTTGTTACGATCAATGCTGTGCAAGATTAGCTAATTTATCTATAATTTACTTGCTATGACTGTCATAAAAAATCGTTATAGAATATCTAGGCATTAGGCACTTATCATCTCAAGTCACTTGCATTAACACTGGATAATTTTATTTTAAATTTAAAAGGATATTTCAAAAATTTTTCTCTATAACTTATTAAAATGCATATTATAAATAGTTATCTAATATTTATTGTTAATTAATAAAATTATTGTGTATTTAAATAAGTAATTACATTTTTAAACAAGGATGTATTTTTAATACTTTAATTAATAACCAGCTGACTTTTACCAATTTAAACAAATTTCAAAATTCTGTTTCAATTAGTTTTATTTTTATTTAAACTTTAAACACTTATTGATTGTAGATATTATGTTAATTATGTTAAACATTTTTACTGTGAGTTATAATTAACTTATAATAGTTTAAAACAATATAGTTTATGTTGATATAAATTAAAATTGATAATTTAAAGTTTAAACGCTTGGTTTTTCATTAAGTTTCATCTTATTCAGAAATAAATTATTGGAAATAAAAAATGCTTTTACATTTATAAAATGATAATTTTGTTGATTATGTAAGTGAAAAAAAAATAAATAATAAATGCTTGAAAATTCAGTTTTTTTTACCAAATCATAAATTATTTATAATTCAATTAAGTATTTTTTTTTTTTTTAAATAATATATTTTTTATTATTTGTAAATAAATACTATTAGATTTTAAGATTATAAAAAAAACAATTTTTGTAATTTAATTTTAGTATGGTAATACATATTTTTTATTACAGATTTTCTAGTTAACTCAAGATACATATTATAATTTTCAAGTTACCGATGATAAAAAATGTATTGTCAAGAAGAAATACATTAAGAACTTAAGAAGGAAGTGATTTAATTTTTTTAATTAAAAACAACTTGCTTTTGTATGCAATCATTTTTCTTGATACAATTTTTTTTCTTTAGATTATAATATGATTTTGAAATTAAAATTGCAATCTCATTTGTACAAATATTAATTAATTAATATAAATAATAATAAAAAAAATTGTTTATAAATTAACTAGAAATTATAATAATCATTCATATTGTATGCTTATGATAACCTTCAAATGTTAAGCTATATTTAAGAATTGCATTATGTAGGAAGACTTAAATAGTTATCAGACATCAATTTTAAATGTACATTTCATAAAATATGTAAAAAAAAAAATGTTTTTATTTTTGTTCTGTGTTATAAATCTTGCTAATTTCTACAGGGTTAAATACAAGCAATACCTTCTTATTTTGTAAAATTGGTTAATAAAATTTTTAGATAAAAATAATGTATTTTTATTTAGTTATTAAAAAAAAAATACACAGTTTACAATATTATATTAACACCAAGGACTCTTTTCCATAAACTTAAACAGACTTTTTCTTTTTGATCTTTGTTTAATTGTTTCCTACCCGTTTAAAATAGTATATTGGTATTCATATATGGCAAAAATAAATATTCTAATACACAATATAGAGATAAAATTGAAAAGGATAATAACATAAATTGTCAATTAACAACAGATAAAAATTACTGACAATATTTGTAAAAGTGAAAGGATAAAATAGTATGCATTTTGTGCCAGGAATATTAGATACTTGACTGCATAAAAAAATAATAGAAACAGAAAATTATGTTAAACAGAGAGACTATTACTTTTTTATGATAAATATTTTTTTTTTTATATTTTATAAAATTGTAATAAAAAATAATATAATAATTTAGTACTAAACTTTAATGTGTTTGAAAAAGAAAAATTTAAATGCTCTATTAGTTTAAACTTCATTTTTAATCATTTATGGTTAGTTTTGAGTATTATATTATTCTAGAAATAAAATGTCACTAATTTATCACCTTGAGAATGTAAGTATTTTTGGGTTACTGTTATATTTTTAAATTTAGAAAATGCATTTTTATATATTTGTATATTTTATTTTGAGGTAATGATAGTAATAGTATTTTATGATACATGTTGTTAATTTACATCAAACAGTTTTATTTAAATTGAGTAAACAAAATAATGTTAATAAAAACTTTTCAAACCATGCACCTATATTATCATACATTGAATATAAATTTTATTTAATATATTTTTTACACAATCGGTTGTTATACATGTCAGTCATACCAATTTTATTGTAGTATTTATTATTTCCAACACTTTTAATACTATCCGAGTTGAAAGTCAAAACTTTCAAATTTAAATTATAAACAATTATATATACCTATGGTTTAAGATAAACAAATATAGATACTTATACAAATTATAAATTATTATTATTATTGTTACTATATAGCAGGTACATAGTATAATAATAGTTTTTCTGAGTTTCATAAATTATGAATAGTTAATATTATGTTGTATTATTATGTACAGTTTCATAATTCGATCGCGTTGGTTTGTTTTTGTTTTTATTTTATTTTTAGAACACCGAAGGCAATCGAATGGTACCTGTTAAACGGTTGCGCGTGCCGGTTGTCTGCTGCCGAGTACCGTTGGCTGGTCACTTTTCCCGGGGAAGCGAGCGCCATACCATTGTCGGACACGATATCTCACCTGAGCGCGATGCGTCTGCTGTTGTCCACGCGCCGCCGCCGTAGCCGCCAGCAGCATTTGGTCGCAAACCCGAACCGTTGTCCGACCGTCGAGCGAGCGTGTTCAGCGACGCTGTCCAGGACAGCGTGGTTCGATCGACTGCTAGCAGTGTTGGCGTCCGAGGACGATCACGTCAGGTACATGGCCACGTGCGTGGTCACCGAAGCAGTGCTGAGCTGTGCTGACGACGACAGCGATTCACCGGAACGCCTGATCGACAAACTATTGCTGACGATCGTGACGGCGACGGGCCGGTCGTCTGCCGCAGCCATCAACGTGTTGACGCGTGTCCTGGATGCCAAGTCTGACGACCGACGGATCTCGACGGAGGCTGGAACGTTTTGTCACCGCGATGACGAAGGAATGGGAGGCGACCGTTTCGCCACTGTTGCAAATTGCTTCGACGTCAAGGCGTTGCTGATGGACCGGTTGAACGATCGGTGGTCGGACGTTGTGAACGCAGCGGTGCACGATACCGGAACAACCGTGGCTGCGGATCTGGCCGAAATCGTTTGGCTATGGACCGCGGCGTTTCGTTGGTTCCGGTCCGCGGGCCCGGCGTACCGGAATCGCGAACGGTTCTACTCGGAACTGCCCAGCCTGGAGTGGCTGCTGTACCGCACGAACACGGCGCCGTCGGTGTGGCTGAACACGGTCCGGTTGTTTGGCGCCGGTTTGCAGATGTCCGTGGGTCGGCCGAAAGCCCTAAGTGTGGCGGTGGCGAGGCTCGCGTTGGACGGCTTCATCCGGCGGCGGCTGTTGTACTTCATGGGGAAAATGGCGAGCGGTTTCGGCCAGACCAGGGCGTTACTGCAGGAGACCGTGCTGTTGGCGATGCGGTCGTTGCGCGCGTTCGTCGTTGGTAGCGATCGGCCGTCCGACGGCGCTGACGACAGCGGATATACCTTCGATACTGCAAACCACGGTCAGAGACGTTGTTGACTGTCTGACCTGTACGTCAAGGCCAGCGCGCTGTACCCGACTGACCTAGGGTTCTGCCGGTGGTCGGTCCGCCTGATGAGCGACCGCGACGACGCCACCGTCGAATGTCTGGCGTGCGCGCTGGAAGTCGCTGATGCCGTGCCCGCTGTCCGGCCGCTACTCGACCCGTTCGCCGGCTTCGCTGAATTGCTGGAGTGCGTGTCGTACGAAGCGGACGTGCTGTTGGACTATCTCATTTCCGACGAGAGCGATTTGCCGTACGCTCTGCGCGTGCTGAAGACCGTTGCCGAGACGCCCGCTTCTTCAGCTTCGGCGCCGGTTTGACGATGCTATGGGGCTGCTGATCAGACCGCGAAGCGAAGATGCCGACTTCACGAGAACTGCGTGTTTCCGTACAACATCATGCCCATCGCCAAACTGATACGCTGTGCCAGCGATGTACGTTGAAACCGCGCTTTAACGATTGTTGTCCCTTGCGATGATATGTTTTATGGTGTGTGATGCGTTTGTGTACTTACCTACCTTCTACATGGACTGATTTCACGACCAATTCGTATTGTTGTAATATGTGCCATTTGAATCACCAGGCTGTTTCTTTAATTATTTTGTATAAATTATATATGTATAAATTATATTGTATATAAAATAGAAATTATCTATTGTATAACACTGTGCCGACTGTTACAAATTTTTAATTTAATTAATTTTTAGACAGATCTGATTGATTGCACTATAAGTAATTTGAACTACTAACAAGTGACAACACATTTTCAACAAAAATATAGTACAATGACTAGTATTATAAACTATAATCTTGTATAATTTTATTGGGAACAGTGTCCCAAACTTAATTTATCCAATTTTAAAAATATTTTTAGTGTTTTAAGAATCGTAAGAAAATTATTTTCGATTTGTATACTTGTATCCATAGTGCTTCAAATCGTGAGTAATAGCTTATTGGTTTTACAGATTTTGTACTTTCATTGACTTATTGTTGTTATTTGTTGATAATAAATTCCTTTGACAGAAATGTGTAAAAATGTAAAATATATATTTTTGCAAGTTACATAGAATTTGTAATTTAAGTATATTTTTAATTTAATGGAATTCATAGATATATTAGTTGACCTGCATTGTGTGTGGCTAAAGTTGTTCATATTACATAAGATGGAAAATAGAGATACTATCAGTCACGGAGTCCACGTTTTTCAGATGGTATTTGTAAAAAAAATATGGTAATCTCCTTATTTGACTTTCTACTACTATAACCCTTTAGTACAATGAAATTATTTACTAACAAAGACGAAAATGTTGATGTTGGTATACAAATTCACTGGATTGAGATTTGAAGGGGAAGTACGTTGAACACAATTAATTAAAATGTTCTTACACTTGATATTAAGCAGAAATCAATAGGTACAAAATAAAAATTTATCAGATTTTTTATTTCCATTTAATTTTATAAAAATATAAGTATATTACAGTATAATACAGTAAATAAAATGTGACGCTTAAACTCATGAATGAGATAGGCAAGGCAGACAGTCTTAAACTTTTAAACATTAATATCTATTTTTTTGAATTATAAATACTTTCAATTTCAATTTAATTTAACACCAACCGGTGCACAATGTTTTTAGTTAACCTGTCTTTAGCTAACACAAATAGATTCGACGGTTTCCCAACACGTAAACACGCAACATATAGTTGCCCATGAGAAAAACATGGATTTTCCAAATCTAAACCACAAATGGACATTGTTTGAAAAATAATTTTCAATGGAGTTAAATAAAAATAATATAAAAATTTTTGTACAATTATTGAAAAAGTGTGGCAATGCCTGACGATGCTACTGCTAATGCGATTTTTTGTTGCGACCATATTTTGGCAAGAATCAACGATATTAAAAATGTCTTACCGGTTCCACCGGGTGCATCCAAGAAAAAAAAACCGCCTTGTTCAGCAGCAACAGCCAGCATAATCCGATCATAAATAATTTTTTGTTCTGCTGTCAGTAATGGTTCACTGTTCATAATAATTGTTGCTAAACTTCCATGGTCATATTGATTTTCTCGTTGTAAATCGGTATTGACTATGTCGGTGGCTGGACGATTAGGTGATGTCATACCATAATGATTAAGTGGTAAATTTGAAATAAGAACACATAATTCCTCGATCAAGACCAATGCTTCATTGTACATCTCTGGTGTATAATCTATGTTTTGGCATTGATTTATTTGTCTAATTCGGTGCAAGATGTCTTCTGTCATACAATTTTTATATTTTTCCCACAAAGTTTGTGCTTGCGAGGGATAACATGTCGTCAAAATAATTGCAAACAACTGACGAATGTTATTCGGTGTTGATGTCAACGCAGCATCAGCAAGCGTTAAGTCCCAATGGTTATCGTCTTCTAGCAATTGCAGTTCACGACATGCATCCTGGTATGTATTGAATACTCGACCATTAACTGTTCGTAGAAATTCAAAAGACGTTGGTCCGGGAACATTCACCAATAACAAACGTAAATAGAAGCACTCACGTTGCTTTGGATGTACCGTGTAAAGTCTCCCCAATTTCTTAGCTTTGAATATGCCTGTAATGGAAGGATGTGGTTTTCCATGTTTCCGTGGCTCCCATTTTTTACTGGATTTGTTCCATGTGAAATAACGTGGAACATCACCATACACCAATGTCTTCGCGAATTGGCCAAAAACATCAGGTTTTTGATACAGTGTAAAAAATTCAGTTAGAGTCGTTTTCGGAGCTTCGAACGCTCTTTGGAGAACATTTTCTTCAGTGAAGTATACACGTTGACCGTTTTCAAGATGTATTGCCAGATGTTGGACAGCAGGATCTCTTTCGTGGATGGGAAAGCTGAGAATATGCCAAATAGCTTCATTGCTGCTAATGTATCTGCCCATTTGGTATCGTGCTATTTCGTCATTTTTATTTATGTTTTGTGCTTCAAATATGGCCAAATCACTGCCTTTGTTTACATATTTACAAATATACTTAATTGATTTAACAGAACTGCAAAGCTCAACATTGATATGAGCTTTGTAAATTTTTGAAAGTAGTGGTGAGTATGGTACCACCCACTGATTATCAAACTCAACTTGATTTGGAAAGTTCGGCAGTCGCATTGTAAATGTGTGGCCACCATTCTCAGTACTTCTGCGGCGATACATTGGATAACCATCAATATCCGTGATCGTGTCATTCGTATGCGGCTTTGGGAAGTTTTTTTTACATTTTCCATTTTCCATGCACTGTGACGTCATGTTGAAAGCACCGCATGGCCCATGGATCATGTGTTTGGTGACAATATCAAATAATTCTTGATCAATTAATGGGTCTGGAATTTCGGCTGAAATTATTTGATCGATTTCTTCAGGACGGATTCTATCTTTAAGCCAAACCAAAATGTGGGCATGAGGCAAACCTCGCTTTTGCCACTCTATCGTATTCAGCCAACAACGTGTGATACCAAACATTTCATATTTAACAATAAAATCAATTTAGGATTTCAATTTTTGTTTAAACACACGTGCAGTTAAATCATGACGATGAATGGATATTGTAGTGCGTCATATGAACGGTGTAAATTACGTCCATCGGATGCACGATCGCAAATTTTAGTTGCCCCAAATGACGTCATTTGGAAGCAAGAATTAAATTTGCGTATCTTACGCAAAAACAATTTGGAATTATCTGAATTGCCAGTAAGAAGGGATAATAAAGGCTCCGGCGGAGCGGGTAGAGGTGACAGCACAACTTTTCCTGATGCGCAGCACATGCCGGCTGCTTCATTCCGAAATTTCAATGCCTGACAATATTGACATACTTTATCCATTCCACCGATAGCAATTATTGAATGCGCTGAGTAGTTAATATCTGGTGCATATTCAAAGGCAAGCCGAACGAATGATGCACGTGTTAATGAGCGGCTGATCCGTTGCCTTTGTCGATCTCTTTCTCGTACTGTAGCTGTGTTTCGTTCTCGTGCCGCTCTTGTTCTCGTAATATTCTGTTGCAGACGTTCGTCACGCTGTTCTTGAGATTCTCGTGCACGACTATCTGCAGTCCTGATTCTTTGAGCTGCATTTCTTGTTTCGATTTGTTCTGGTAATTGCTGAGCTCTTTCAACACGTTTGCGTCGTGACCCTTTGCTGCTCGCGTTGTTAAGGTTAGACTTTTTCGGTATATATATATATATTTTTTTTTTCGATTTTTATCGATATTAATCGATTTCAAGCCCTGCTATTATCGATTTTTGCATTATTATTTATATTTTATTTTTATCTGCTAGAGGGTGCCACCGGTGTAACTCGGTTTTTGTCTCTATATCTCTAACTCACAGGAGTTAGGTCCATACCCTATATCCTGTCTTTTAAGTTGGACCAAATTACACGCGGTGTAAAAATTTCATCAGAATCGGTTAAGTGGTTTAGGAGTCCATTGAGGACAAATATTGTGACATGAGATTTATATATATTAAGATTTCTGATATAATTTGAAAATTTAACAAAAAAAAATTTAATGTATATTTTATTTTGAGGGCTTTTACAAGTATTATTATATCGTGTTTTTCAAATCCTTCGTTGACATACAATTTCCTGTTTTTATTATTAAATATTTAATATGATTAAAATTTAGAAATAAAAGATTTTTAGCAAGGATTGTAATATTACTGGATGAAGATGAAACAACAGGAAAAATAGTAGTACAAAATGAAAATGAAAATGAACATAATTGTTAATTATATAATCATAAATATTAGACATTTTTACCTAAGGTCTAACCTTTAATATTAGTATTTCCTATACATAATGTAATTTCTTAAATACTTGACTATTTGAGCTATTTATAAATCTTTAAGTTAAGTTTAAAAATAATAATGAGCTTACAGCACTAAAGAGCTGATAAAACGGCGAAGATAGAATTATTTTTTATATATTCTAACTGCCATTAAGTTATCATGATAATATCCGCTTTAAATTATATAAAAGTTTTTTATTTATACATTTTATTTTTGGTAAATTTTTAGTTTTTCCAATACACATAACATCAGTAATAAATTTATCATGATTTTGCCAATAAAAAATGAAAATATATATATCCTATTATAATTTAAAAATATATTATATAATAGCGTTGCTAAGAAATTGCTTTTCGTTATTCTAAACATAATAAATCGTTAAATTTTGTTTTTATCATATCTTATGTTATAAACTTTAATTTAACTATAATTTTATTTTACCGATGATAGTAAAGCTATAACACATTAAATAATAACTAAATTATGCATCATGTTGATGCTAGATGATCCCAAGCGACAAAATGATTTGGTTGAATTCCTCGGACAATTAAATGAAACAGAAAAAGAAACTAAAACTACAAAAGAACTGAATAAATCGGAGAACAAATGCGTGTGTTCAAAAAGATATTTTAAAAAATGGGAAAATAGATTGAAATTAAAGTATATTGCAAAATTAGCAATTCCAAAACCAGTTCGTCTCAGGCCTTGGCCAAATCCAGAGTTGGAAGCTGTTTTGCCATTACCTGTAGTTAAAGCTACTTTAACTGGTAAAATTCCAAGTAGGATATATAAATTGGCAGTACCTAAAAGCAGGCCAAAAGCGCCAAGGGATCTAGTTTATCAAACGTCCTCATCGGGGGATGCCAAGTATAAATATAGGATATCTAAAAATCTGCGAAAAACTCATAAAAGAATTCTAGAACTTGCAGAACCAAAACCTCAAATCAGGCACGTACACCCTAGATGTCTGAAATCTGAACAACCCGAAAGACTTTATAGTAAACCTAACAGATCGTCGATTAAGAATAATTCAGATGATTGGATTAAACATAAAAATTGGCTTAAGAAGAACGCGGCACCTAAAAGAATATTTAGAAGATCTCCGGAAGTTAAAAGACGATCAAAACTGTCGAAATCCCAAACTAACCTAATGTTGGAGAGATTATCTCAAATGCCAGAATTAAAAAGATTTGTGAAGAAAGTGAACGTAAGAAAAACTGAACCAAGACCATTTGGTCAAATAATACCTATGAGCGTGGACTGGGTTCAGCGGTTATCAGTACCTAGAAAATTATCCTCAGAGACGCAGTTGAATCTTGATTATGATCCCGGTGTCATTCCAAGAGCTGCTTTAAATGCAACATTGACACCACGTATAAAAGAATTAGCTGAGCCAAAATTTAATGTTAAAACAGTCAACACGGAATTCAAAGAAAATGCATTCAAAATTTCACCTACTGCGTTGACATATAAAGCTACTAAACGCATTAAAAAATTGGCGATGCCACGAGTATATTAAATAATATATTTCTGTAAATAAACGGGTTATCTACGATAATATACTTTTAAGTTAATATTCTATTGTATTATCTTAATATAAATTTAAAAAAATTTAATTTAGCATCAATAAATTGCATCAAAAGAATATAATATATGCGTTTACGTCTATTTAGTACGATGAAGGATCATTGTAGTATTGTTTATATCGAAGGTTTATACATTTTTTTTTTTTTTTGGTTATTTAAGTAAATTGTGTTGTATACAAAGAAATTTATACAATACACACCGCTTATAAGAATCACATTGGGACCAGCACAAAATAAGTCTTATAACCGAATGAATCTTATAGGTAAAGTAGGAGAAAAAACATAAATTTTGTTTAGGTACATTTTTATAAATTTAATTTTATTACATATTTTGCTTTTATTTTAATCTACCTCAATAAATATTAGATATTAGTGAATGAATGATTTTTATTATAATAAAAATAAAAATTACATACATATATATATATGTATTAATAAAAAATTATAAATGATGTATGTACATACTTATTATTTATGAAAAAAATTGTTATTTTGGTTTGTTTTGAGTTATGTTCTAATATTTCGGAAATATTCTTTTCATATCCATATTGTACATTAAAATTATTACCTTGGTGATAAACAGCTCTCTCTAACACGTCTAGACCATCTAGAGCCTCGACCTTTTTGTATGAAGGCGTTGAACCTCTTCCTCATCAGTCATCTTCCCTTTCATTATTGCTGGTTGCTTACTACTTCACGTTGTACCGTCTTGGAAAGACAGTCGTACTTTTCTAAAATGTCTATTTTGTTACTCAAACTAAGAGCACGTCGCGTTAGATTAGCATTCACGTAATAACGAAAAAACACGACATTAAAACTCTAATAACGACTGATTGATGATTGTGCATTATACAACAATTATACAGTTGACCTTATCGATCACGATAGCTGTGACAGGTAATCAGAAGCTTATTAATATTTCACACTACAATAACGATAATTGCGATAAATATAAAATGCAATAAAATTAGTTGTACATACACACATTATAAAGCATGAATTGTAACCAATAATAACCGAAAAAAATATGTAATTTTTGAAAACTAATTTATTTTTAAATTTTAACCAAAAATGTTATTTCCAATCATTTTTTTTCACGAAATTTGAGTTTTTATAAACAAAATAGTGAGTCTTATAACTGGGATTTTTATAATGTGTTTGGATACATCTAGACCGTTCCAGACGATTTTGAGTTTAATAATAATCGGCTGAACCTTATATCCGTGACTCATATAAGCGTCGTCTACTACATACATTATATATATTCGTCGATATGATTAAAAGATTCAAATTATTCTAGTTGTAATTATGTTAAAATTTTGCATCATAATACAATAGAGTTCAAAATATAACTTAAAATAATACTATATTTTAAATTTTAATAAATAACTAGGTACCTACTCATTATTATCTTGCCACGATAAACGTTCTGACAAACAAATACTTTACGAATTCAAATCTAATCTCCTCAGCTGTTCTTATTGGTTTTCGTTCGACTCTTGATAATTAAGTAAAATATACCATATCGATATTATCTTGCCTTCAAGAACCTTCATTGATATTCCCATCTTTTTATTAATCATATGTATAACCATTGTTCGTAACTTTTTGTTTTCTTAAAAATTTATGTAAATAAATACATGCGAAAACTACCGTCTCTGCGTTATTTAGGTTCTAAAACATTAGTTTTCGTAATATCCTAAATTCTGCAGATAAAATTCGGAAAACTATTACAACGACTAGGAGTAGGCTCTTGAAATCCAATTATGACTGAGCAAAATTCTTAATTTAACAAACGTTAGTCTATCATAACATTAACATTTTACTGTAGAAAAATAATTAATCGATAGAAAACAATAAGTTTAGTGCAACGGGGCGTTAGTCTTTAAATTTAATTTTTAAATTCCGATAAAGATCTACTGTCGTCTGTCGGCTATTTTTGTAGTTGATTTTTGTTGAAGTGATAATAAAGAAAAAGTGATATTTATTCAACTATGATTACAATTATTCGACATGTTGACCTAATTAAAATTAAAAAAATAAAGTGTAGGTATACTTACACAATTACACAACATATGGCGATAATCTAAAAAAGATTTTATCAAGATGTACGATTGTCCCGTTGTCTAAGTCACAAAACACCACTAGTTTTAACCGATATTATATAGTCGATATTTCTTGAACTTTAGATATCATTTGATAAACACAAGAACTGTAATGAATAATAAAGTTATGTACCTACAATAATATATTATGGTCAAATTATAATTTTAGATTTGTTCTGAAAAATTGTTTTTCCTCACCGTTCATTAGTATCAAAAAAGTTAATTAAATTGTCGTTATTTATTTAAAAAAAAAAAGTCATAAGTATATCATTATTATGATGTATTTCTACTTTCTAGTATGTTTAGAATTTCGAAAATTTATGATTATTTAGTAAAATACTACTGCTTCTAATAAATAGTGTACGTTACAGTTATGATAATAGGTAATATATGTGTGTTTTATGCGAATTTGGAAAGTTTGAAGTTGATCAGTATATGATTTACAGTTTTAGAAATGTGTATTATGTATAGTAACGCGTTGTTATTGGATATTCGATAAACATAATATTTTAATTAATTTATTGATAGGTATTTATTTAAAGTATTTTATTTTTTTACATTTATTAAAATTTTAATAAATTAATTACACGATTGTCATGGATGAAAATTCCAGTGAAAACATTCTACAGACTATACAAGACATAGATAAAACTATTTTACAGATTTCAGAATGTATACAAATTCTTCGAAATGCCGAAAACAAATTAAATCTGGTTCGTCGTATTCTTATTGACTTAATAATAAAAATAGAATTAAAAATTAAAATGAAAATGGCTATAGTCGGGAACACGACGTGGCGTGTGACCGCCGCGATTCTAGCGGTAAAATCGTCTAATGTGTTATTAAAACTCTAAAATCAAATGGCTCTCATTTCATGCAACGTGCGCGAAGGACGCCGCAAATTGAGAACCATTGTGTGCGACAGGGTGATTATCAGTGTAAAAAAAGATCACACGTCACTTTTCGCGTCTCCGACTATAGTGTTAACATTGTAGTCAATCAATTAACACTGGATATTTTTATGCGAGTGACTTTATCCTTTTCCTTTGGAAATTTTCAAGCTCATTGTTTATAATAGTTTCAAATTCTAAAAATCAGTGCTTTCAAACGTTATAATAACAATATACTATATACTTCACAAAAATCGATTGAAATTTGTATACGTAATTATAACGGAAAACGGTAAACATAAATAATTAAATAATACGAAACAAAACATAACGATTAGGTAACAAAATATATGATATATCATTAAACAAAACATAACGCTAAACGTTATATATAGTATATCATTAGAAAAAAATTTAATTTCCAATTATTTAATAGGTATAAATTATAAAATATAATAAAAATTTTAATTCTGAATAACGATAAACGCAAAAGTTGAATAATGATGAAGTCAAAATTTGTATTACGTTTTAGTTTTAAATAACGTATAACAAATATTTTTTTTTAAAAGCCCTGATAAAAAAAAAAATATATATATATATATTTTAGAATTCCACAATAAAAATATACACGTATAGAATTTGTTGAATTGTTTATCTACATAAAATAAAATAGTGCTACCACTAGACATAAAAAAAAAAAAATAATATTTTTAGTACATTTTATTTATAGAGAAATCAATATTTTTAAAGATAATTACAATAATATTAAATTGTATTCATAACTCAATCTTATCTGATTATGATACATTAAAATAATTAATATTTAATTATCATCCATTTACATTTTGTCAATTTGTTATTTTATAACTTTAGAAAGAAAATAAAACTTTGGATGAGATAACGACATTTCAGAACTTACAAAAAACAATTGGTCTACAACTAAAAGAATTGGACGAAAAATTTGAGCTTTCCAATCAATTAAAAATGTCAGTGGTGGACCATACATACAAATTGATGAATATAAATTATGGTGGCACCGTAGATCAATTGAATCCAGGATATCAAGATCGAATACCAATTTTTGCTCAAAATGTAAATTCATACTTTTATATTATTAAATATTCACGGTCGATAGAATTATGTATATAATTATTATTATGACTATTTATATTTTAATATTATGGTTTTGCAACTGATGGTTTGTATGTGTACGTATATACTCGTATTTTTAATCATTTTTATAAAATGAGATTTTACTAATGAATTTACATTCTTTATCAGATAATATTAAAGAATATTTCTTTGGATAAATATGAGTATCCTTATATTTATAAATATACTTTTTTCATATTTTTATGTTATCGTAGACGAGCTTCGAAGACCCACATACTGTTTGTCAAAATAATTGTTCAATTCGAGAATGTGGTTATAACGGTGATTCCAACTGTTGTAGTGCTTCTTCTAATGCCTTAAATAAGTAAAGTATATTTTTTTATTTTTTATATGTCCGTAAGGTTTTATTTTCATTAAATTAAATTTACATAATTGTTTGTAATAATATTATTTTAGAAATACGTTAATGTCACAATGCTCAGACAGTTTTTACAACTCACAAGAAGTTTGTCAACTAAAAGAACAACTTCAAAATATTATCAATGAAAACCAAGAACTTCTTTTTAAATACAAATCTATAGTTTGTTTTAAATTTAATCAATAATCATAAAGTAAAACTTAATTTTAACGTTATATAATTGAGTAAGGGCAAAAAAAGCGTAAAAATGTTATGTATAATAATGTTAGAAAAATACAATTTTTTCATAGTTTTTCATATTTTTTATATAGCTAGCAGTCTATAGTGAATTTTATAAATTTCATCGTAGTTTAAATAATAATTCAGATAATTCTACTTAAATCTATTCTTTTTACAACGAGTTTGATATTACACTTGATTACCTATCATTATTCCAAGCAGAAGTAATAAAATCAATTTAGAAGGATACCCTTTTTTTATGTTTACTTAAGCAACATTTAAATATTTCGGTAATATAATTGTATTTGGTTAAATAATTTCATATTATTTTCATTTACGAGATCCAATGGTTGGGCAGTTAAATTAGGTATAAATAAATAACTTAGAATATCTATAACAATGTAAGTACTTTGATTGAACTGGAAATGTACGCATAAACAGTAAAATGTATCATTTTTTATAATTTATTTAGTCAATAACTTTATGCCATAAGAAAAATCTTTATCTAATAAATGTGACCTCCGAAAATTTTAAAATATAATATATTAGTCGAATATTGGACCTTCTTAAAATGATAAGCTAACTTTATAACTGAAAAGCATTATCGAATAAGCTAATGTATTTTTGTTTTTTATAGACCGAACGTAACGATTTATTGGTAAAAGTTTTGAACCGTCCCGTAAGTAATATTACATGTAACAATCATTATTTCGAATTATTATATGATTTAATTAACTGTAGGAAATATTTAAAAAAATAGAAGGATGCATAAGATTTCCCGGAAAGAAAGAAATGGTAAGCCCTTATAAAGAATTATAAATTAATTATTCAAGGAAAATTCATTTATTTTTAATTTTGCTATAACTTTTGTCTTTTTTATATTGTAGGAAGAAAAACTTTCAGAATTTAAAACAGAAATATTAAGATTGAATTCTGAGATTAAAGAAATACACATAACTCAATTAAAATTAAAATCAGCCAAAGAAATTTTTAACCAATTTAATGCTACTAACTGTCAGGTACTTAAATAAAACTAAGTTAGAATTGTAAATATTTTAACTGTTTAAAATATTGTTATGTGAATAGTGTGAAAGTTTTACATGTAACGAAAATATTAATGCAAGTACTAAAGTTCAACAACAAGAAATCCAACAAATTGAATTGCGGATAAAGTAAATAGTTTATTTTGAGAAGTAGGTAAATGTTAGTGTTTTTAAAACTGTTGATCAAGTAATGTGATTATCTTATTAGTTATTAAAGTTTCATAGATACTTATGTTTATTTTTTTCCATAAATTTTATTTACTTTCGACAAACATCTATTTGTTTTTTTTTTTTATACATTTTATGTTTGATGAAGATAAAGGAAGTTAACTATCCTCACGACCAATACTGACATGTTAAACTTGATTGATATATTATCTCCTGGTTAGCACAACATAATTTACCATAGCACCTTACTCTATATAACCTTTTGAAGTTTTTTACTTTTGAAAGCAGGACAAGCAAAGGCACAGTATTAAACCTTGATTAACATTTTCTTCGATACTCTTCATTTTTTTGCATTACACTTCTATGGATGTTCCTTGGTATTATTACATATATTCTTTTTATTTTTTTTTATTTTTATCGCTATAATATTATCATACGCCTATTTTAAATCTATTAATACCATGCAGTGTCAACAATGAATGTTATTTATTTATTCTAACAATAATGTTTCACAATTTTATTTCGATCATAAACAAAAACTGACAAGGAAAGTTGATAAAAATCAATTTAATCGTATCTTATGATTTGATCTAACCATATGAAAATTGAAGGTAGCCCGAGATTACACTTATTTAAGTTTAGTATAATATACAAATATTTTATTTCTAGAGAAAAGACTAATGAGTTGAATAATATTGTATTTCATTATGAAAATATCGGTAAGACGAATGATAATATAATTGATGCTCATAAGAAGTTAGCTGATGATTTAGTAGAATTATTGAAAAAGATTAAAGTGTGTCAATGCAAGTTTAATATATATAAAAAAAAAAAAAACAATAATATGTATTAAAATAAAATTATAGGAAAACGATTTGAATGGTTTCAAAGATTTGATAAATAATTTAAATAAAAACAACGAAGATATCGAGACAATGGAATTGATCATCAAAGAGCGTGGTAATGAAATTAACGATTGCAAAGAAAAGGTACCTCTTTAATGAATTTTTACTGCTAAGTATAATATATGAGTAATAACACATAATTTTTATATGGATTAAGTTAAGACGAGTACAACTTGAAACCAATGATATTACTCTAAAAACGAAAAAATTGGAAGATTCGATGAAAAATCTGTCAAACGATTTCAATGAATCGTATAATAAATTAGAAGTAATGTTTAAAATAAAAATATTGAATATCCTGTACCATAATGATGCCTACATTGTTACTTTTTCAACCGTTTTAAAAAGTCGATTACCCACTGAGTAATTCTTTTATCAAACTAACACTTATTATTTCATAAATGTTAATAAAAATTATGATTGTTGTTCGATAAAAAAATTACCTTATAAAAAATTATACCTAACACATTATTAAATATACTTATACTGTATTCAATATATATATTTCGCAATACCTATGGAGTTAAAATAACAGTCGAGCACTTCCGCGCTGATGCCGTAATGATCAGAGAGATTTCAAAGAAATTTTTTACTCTACACTATTATATGAAATTCTTAATCCAAATACAATTTAAAATAAAATAAAAAAAAAAAAATTCAATATGCACAACAAAATATGAACTATACCTCAAAGCAATGTAATGATTTGAGCCTCACCTGCTGAGATTTTTACTAAAAAAAAAAAAAAATATGTATATCAGTACATCTTTTGGTATGCAATAATATTTGTTGATAACTATAATATAGGTATTTTTATGTTATAATAGTTGTTAATGAGATATTATAATGGACCAGAATTAATAATAAATGTAAATTAGTAGTCTGATGTGGCGCGGTAGTTGGCCTCACTCACTAATATGTTCTGAGATCAAGCATCGGACAGCATCACTAGCTCTCGGATGGGTGACTATCCGACTTCTTAGTGATGAATCTATGTCGCGCACACATACACACATGTGTTCCAATCTTACTAAAAAACTTTACAAATAAAAACTTTACACAACAGAAAACAACCTACTGTCTCTATCCACAGCTAATGGCCTTAGTTGCCGGACTTAAATAAGATCAATATATATAAAAAAAAACGTAAATTATTGCATTTATATAGTTGGTTTACAAAGAACAGCTGGAGGAAATGCTAGCATTGCCAAAAGTTTTGAAAGAAACACACATTAAACTACAAGAAGAGACTGACTTAAGAGTATTGGCAGAGGAAACAATGTATAAGCTTGAGTACGATATCAAACAGGTAAAATAATACTTTAAATAATTACAATTTTTAAAAGGATTTTTACGAATCATTGATATTCTGTGCACTGATTTTATGATAAATTAGTACGATAATATTTGTTATTAAGGTGGAAAGTTTGAAAATTCAAAATGAAAACGACGATGAAAAAAAGAATCAAACAATTAAAGACGAACAATTAAAAATAGAAGCCGAAAATAAAGTTATTGAGTATATGCGTTTTACGAGTTAATCTTTAATCGGGTACTTCAGTATAAATGTTTTTCAGGAGTAAGTTAAAATCACTTGAACAAAATGTTGAGTTAGCTAAAGAGTGCATAGATAAAGAAACTCAGGAATTAAATGCAGTAAATCTCCAAATTCAAGACGCTATTGCAGAGAGCTCAAAACACATAAACGCATTCAAACATTTTTCAGAAATACATTTGGAAAGAATAGTTAGCGACTTAAGTAAATTAAAAGAAATTTGTACGGAATCACAACGCAGAGAGTGTACGAAATTTCTCGCTAAAAAATCGGTATGGATCCCTTTATTTTCAAGTGCTCATTTGTTATTTATTAATTCATCGTTAAACTTATTACCATGTTTGAATATGGTTACTGTACTTGTAATCCTTATTTTTAAATACTTTTTTATGTTAAATATGCTTAAGTCATTGGTGAAGTTAAGTTTGACAGTCTTTCTTAGTTTAAAAGTCTTGAAAATTTAATGAATGGTGCTAAATACCGGAGTGACTGGAGCGTAAAAATATAATTTATTTTATCCATCAGGATACGATATAAACAGTGCAATTGTCAATTTAATATGATCACCATAGGAAAGTATTTATTATAGTGTTAGTATATTAAATATAATATATAAGTATTATCCATGTAGAATTTATTAATTTTTTTAAATTATTATTTATGTAAATAAATGTTAACTTATGGATAGTAATTATAAAACATTTTTTTTAATACTAGATTTTCTTGAGTGTAATAGATATATTTCAAAAGTTTGAAATTCGAATTTACTAAGTTTATGAATCAGAATTAAAAGCGATATTTGTTATTAATTATTATATTTGTTATTCATTGTGCATTATTTGTAAATAGGTATCTACATACATATTACACAAGGCGAGGAAACAAAAAGCTTCCCAGTTTGATGAGGTTGTAATTCAATTAATAAATTGTGATTAATCATATGTTATGAAGTTCGGTTATGTTTTGTTTGAGATATTAATGTCATTTCAGGAGAAAATTTTAAATGGATTATTTTCTTTTGTTATTTTTTTTTTTTTTTTTTGTTGCGATTTGATTTATTTGAGTTGTAAGGTGATAGCTTTATGATATGGATGAAGAAAGATGGACAATTTTTTTTAAAAAAGAAGAGAATAGAGAAGTTATAGGAGATTTATAAAGGGAAGATTCGTGTTTGAGAATTAGGTAAATTTGATGATTCTTCTGTATCTGAGTAAGAAGAAGAAAAGGCGGCATTTCTAGAAAACACACACATTGATTTTCTCATATATGCATATATCCTTAGTTTTGGCACCTGTGACATTGAGATAGGCATTGATTGAAGTAACGTTCTTTTATTTTAATTTTCGAATAGCATAAGGTTTGAATATTTCTAGATTGTTTGATGCGGGCTTAGATCAACGATAAATAATTGAAATGGAGTAGAGTTGAGTTTTTTTTTATATTTGTTACATTTCTAACCGGGCACTTAATAATTCAGTCAAATTCATTTTAAAATTTATTTGACAGTTTGAGAAATATTTCAGAAAAAAATGGATGTCATATTAACTTCTGGTCAATTAAAATAAAAATTATATGTAAATATATATATATTATATGTAATTATATGTAAGTCTAAGTTAGATTAAAATTGGTGGTAATTTGCAAAAGGTTATGTATACATGGTGCTAAGTGGTATGCACAGATCTTTACACTGACCACGGTAATTGAATAAAAACCTTATAAATGTCCTGTTGTATCTATAAAACGACTTCACTACTATTCAGAATGCATTTTTATGGATGTGACAATTCCTGTTCACTTCAGCACAATTCAGTGTTCTTTCTTTAATTTTTATACTCGAGATATAGCTATATTTGAAAATGTTTGTAAATATTTAAACAATAAGAAATATAGTACGATGGTTAGGTTAAATGCCTATTATATAAGTTTTAAAATACTACGAAATTCAATAACCTCTCTGCATTTTCATCTATTTTTCAATTTTACATATGTACATTAGAATGGTTTTGATCAAAAATATACACCGTTTTATTATGTAAAATTGACTTAGGTTGACCACAACGAAATAACTATTTTTTTAATATCAAATAGATAAGGGTTTGAAAACTTATTACTTGTACTATTAAAATCGGAAGTTTATCACGATTTTCTATGTTTAACATTTTTAGGCGGTCGAGGCCGCCTATCGTTTTTAAAAATCTCACTGATCGTTTAAACAGTAAAATTATAAACGAGTAGGTATAAGTCGAGTAATAATAAAGTAAAAAAGCTATGCTGTACTTAAAACCTGTTCACAAGCCTTAAATAATGAAATAATGGACCTTAGACTTCTGGTTACGTTTACTCTATGCTAGAGATGATCCTAAGCTATATTTCTAGTTGCACTATTAATTAATATTTTGTTAAACAGTGAAAATAGATATTAAAACTGTATCTCATAAAGAAGAAACTTCATATAGTTTTGATTTCGAATTTAATCTGAACCAAACTAACTTCACCTAGATTTTCACTAAGTCAGAGTATATAAAATCAACAAAATAATAGTGTATGATAAAGTATTTAACTATTTATTTGTTTATTCAGTTTATGGATCTTCTAAAAGATCGCATAACTTCGATTAACCAGAACGTGGAGACATGCAAGCTAGAAGTCCGTAATATTTTGGAACAACCAAACTAACATAACACGGAACTATAACCTAAATAACGTGAATTTTGTGAAAAAAATATAAGATTTTATTCAATGAAAGTTAAAATAACTGTAATGACGTATATTTAGTGTTTCCGGTGAGATAAAAATCAATTGTTAAACTTATTAAAAAAGTAAAAGTAAAAAGAAAGATTTCATGTAATCAGTAATTTTATACCCTCATAACATGAATAGTACATACTAACATTATTTTTTAGTTAAATTTCTATAAATTTCAATAAAAAATTTTCATTAAGTTTTACAAAATCTCATATAAAATGTTTCTAAAACTACTTAAAAATATTTAAAATATGAAGGCATAATTCATTCTTATAATTAATCAGTTCAAATTTTAACAAAAGTTAACATTTCAAAAAATGTTTTACTGTCGAACATAGAGAAAACATGAAAAACAAGGATAGAAAAAAAATTAATAGTATAGGCTTGTATAAACATTTCAAAGTTTTCTGTGAGTAGTCCATATTAAATTTAAAATCTAAGAGATGCAATAAAAACACAATTTTTCTATGATCATTTGCATATTAATTGACCCCAAAAAACTTAAATATTATATTGTATTAAATTCAAAAACATTAAATGTGAGATTTAAAAGAATAATGTCATAACATATATTTTATAAATTTATTTAAGAAGTAACTTAATATATTGAATAGTATACTTTAATTCTCATTCAAGATTATAAATCAAACTCAATCATAATACCTATATTATTATAAACATATAATAAACGTACAAAAAAAATTAAAAAACTAAGCGGACGCCACAAATGCATAATATTGTTAGTATTTTAAAAAAAAAAAAACATAATTAAAAAATAATTTGTATATAGCTAATATGAATTAAATCCTTGTCCTTGTAAAAGTTAAATCGCTAGCTCCGCCGCCACCACAGGATATAGGATACTATAAAACGAGAACACTTGAACCATACGTTCCTGGTATTGGACACTCCGAATCGGGAGAACTCTTACACGTTTTTCAGTGTTTAAGAGGTATGATATGTTCAATAAACCCTGTAATTAATTGTCAGATAATGTCAATCTGTATAATTTATGACAAATATAATTGAAGTCAATGGAATGAATATCAAATACCAAAACTGTGATAAACAAAAAAAAAGAATTATATTTTCATTAACAAAGTTAAGCCATCATTAAAAATATTCGTTCAATAATTACAAAATGACCACTACCATAAAAAAATATAAACAAACATTATAGAAAGTAGGGTTATTTTAGATATTAATACAAAGTACTTCGTTCAGTTACGTATTGCTAACTATATTTACATCTTAAGTTGATTGTTCATTTTTGTTTCTATTATCAACGCATTCTGTTACAATTGAATGCTATATTATTTATGTAAAATTCATTTCATTACTATTTTAATCATACATATTATGGTAAAATTTTCAGCACGCATTATATATAAATCCTCACTTTTATAATGTTTTTATATTTTATTTAGTAGGGTCATTTTGTTAACAAAGAATGAATATTTTAATAGTTTATTAACTTTTGTCAACGAAAATATACGTCTTTTTGTTTATCACAGTTTTATTATTTGATATTTTCCATTGGACTTCCATTATTAGCATAATATACTGATTGACATTAACGGATCGAATAATGAGTTTTGTATCATACCTCTTTAACCTAAAAATTGTTATAAAATCTCGTTTCGTAGTCTTCAATATCGAACGTATAGTTCAAGGTTCTGTTTATCTAGTACTATACGGTGGCGTAGGCGGTTTTAGTCACAAGATCAAGGTATAAGTCATATTAGCTTTGTAATGATTTCATTATCATTATTTTAATTATCACCATAATAACAATAACAGTCTACTTTCTAAAATTTTACTTTATCGGTAAAAATTGTATATTTAATTTAAACAAATGAATATCAACTATATTTACATCTTAAGTTGATTGTTAATTTTTTTGTTTCTATTATCAACAATCCAGTTTACATATAATTGAATGCTAATATTTTTATTAATCACTTACATTCATTACCTTTTAATCATACACTGTATTATTATTAAAGACAAAATTCAGAACTTGTATAATATCCC